GCTAGGATCTGGAACCAACTTCCAAGAGAAGTGGTGCTGGCTCCTACCCTGGGGGTCTTTAAGACAAGGCTAGACAATCACCTTGCTGGGGTCGTTTGACCCCAGTACTCTTTCCTGCCATGGCAGGGGTTGGACTTGATGATCTGCTCAGGTCCCTTCTGACCCTACTAACTATGAAACTATGAGGCTACTGAAGGACAATCGAGATAGAACCAAATGTAAAATACCTTCTGTGGTCCTTACCTGAGCATTGCTGCCGCCTATCTGCAGGATCTGGTAGCGAATTGGATAAAGCAGTTCTACTGCCTTGTCATAATTTCCATTGTCAAACTCTACAAAGGCTTGGCAAAGTGGCAATCCCAGCTGTGAAGCCAGGCCAAGCTCATGATCTTCCCCAGGTTCCCTGTGAAGGAAGAAGGGATTTAAGTTCTAACAAGATCAGGCTTCGGCAGTTCTTTCACTGGAACTCCATCACATCCTGCAGGTAGGTACTGTTGGTTGCATGATAATCCAATGTAACTGAAGTGTCAAGCATACAGAAAGCCAGATCTATATGAAAATCTGTGTTTTCTGTAACTGTAAATGTTTTAACATCGCAAATATTTAATTAGATAAGTAAATAATATTTCTATTTCACTAAGAAGTTGTGGGTTTTTTCTCCTAAAAGAGGACAATGATGATGAATCAGATTTTTCTTTGATGCCATACCATTTATTTACAAAGCATATACGCAACATCCTATTTCACCCACCATGGAAGGAATCAAACAACAACATAAATCCTGGATTAATATTCCAAATCCTTTCTTAGGTTTCTGTCAAAGTTACACAACACATGCTGTTTTGGCTGTTTGCTGCTTGCTCTTTTTTGCTGTTTGGTTTTGGCTGCATCTCACATGCACACAACAGCTCCAAATAATACCCAGCAAAACCTCTTCATCCACATAGCTCAGCCTTATCCATGACCTGTGTTTTGGACAGTAGCTGCCTACTCAGCTCTTCTACTCCAAAGTGGAATTTAACATTACCTCATACTTATTCTGAATGTAGAACAGCTATTACTATATGGGTTTCTTCCAATCCCACATCAATATAATGCAATAGAGATTATTAGTCATTTGTTTGCAGAGTTATCCAGTCAAGACAAGGGGAAGGCAAAGAAAGAGTGGAACAACTGAGATTATTTGGACTGGGGAAAAGAAGATGAAGGGAAATAAGATAAGAGTCTTTAAATACAGAAAGAGTTGTTATAAAGAAGATGACAACAGACTAGTCCAACAGTGCTCAACCTCTGACCTGAGGGCCAAATGCAGCCCATGGAACCATCACATCTGGCCTGACAGGCTCCCCAGAGCCCCCTCTCCCCACACCTTCCAAGGCTGAGCCGTGCCCCCTATACCTGGCTGGGTCAACCCCTCTTCTCCTGCAGGGCCAGGTTGGGGCCAGGCTGCACCCCAACCCTCTATGCGGCTGGATGGCACCTGTTATATCCACCCTGGGCACCAGATCAGGACCACTGGCTGGACCCAGGCCACAGATGCACTGGGCACTGCCTGTCTAGCCCACCAAGGAAAAAGGTTGAGACTAGTGTGTCTACAGGGGGCAGGAAAAGTAGTAGAAGATTTCAATTGCAGCATGGGAGGTTTAGGTTGCTGGCTCACTATGAGGGTGGTTAAGTAGTTGAACAGATTATCTCAAGAGATGGGGGAATCTCCATCACTGGAAGTTCTTAAGAGCACTTTAGACAAACACTTGGCTAGGATGACTTTTAAACAGGAATGTTCCTGTCTTGATCAAGGGGCTGAACTCGCTGACTTAATGGAGTCCTGTTTCCAATGATTACACGAAGACAGGCAAATATCAGATGAATGTCCCAACACAACAGATTAGAAATCCAATTTGTTGGAATTTCTCACTGTAGCACAAGAAAAAATAAGAGCTCTCCAACAAAATATGGCTCTAGGTACAGCTGTTGTAAACTCAAACAGTTTCTGAGGTCTTAATTTGTTAGTATAATGTAATAAGAAATCTAGACAACATAACATCATGGAAATAGAGTGCTAAACATTAGTGCTGTGCAAAGCTTTGGTCACCAATTCGATTCCAAGGAGATTCGGCAGCTGAATATCTGAATCCGAATTGAATTCAGAGACCCATTAAAAGGTCTGAATTGAATCCAAAGCCTCCAAATAGATTCGGACAAGATTCGGCCTATTCGGAGGACAGTGATTCGATTTTGTAATTCAAATAAGTGTCCCCATTTGATTCAGCTGAATCAGAATTCGAGATTCAGTGGTGATTCAGAGATTCAGATCGGCCAGGGAGAGGCAGGCATAGCCGGGTCGCTGCAGGTTCTACCGTGGCTCCTCTAGCTGTGCCTACTTCTCCCCAGGTGGGGGGAGCCATGGGAGAAGCTCCCATGGCTGCCCTGCCCATCTCCAACCCCTGCCCGGCCCAGCCTCTTGGCATTTTAAAAAAACCCCAAAAGAACAAAAAAAAGCCCCACACTCACCGGCTGCAGCAGGGGCAATCAGGGCCTCTTAGGGCTCATGGCAGAGCTCCCCCATGCAACGCAGGGCAGTGGAGGGCAGCAGGCATTGCCCCACCCATTTGGCACCCATGCAGCAGCTGTCGCATCATGCAGGTGCAGGGCGGCTTGGCAGGGTGCTGTGTGCTGTCTGGGAGCTGGGGTGATCCAGCAGTCAGCCAGAGCCTGGTGCTGGTGCCCCAGTGGCCCCAGCTTCCAGACAGCACACGGTGCCCTGCCAAGCCACACTGCACCTGTGCCATGGGGCAGCTGCTGTACAGGTGCCAGGTGGGTGGGGAGGGGTGATCCCTGCTACCTCCTCACTGCCCCGTGCTGCATGGTGGGGGCTCTGCCACAAGCCCTCAGAGGACTCGATCACTGCTGCTGCAGATGGTGAGTGTGGGGCTTTAAAAAAAAAAAAAAAAAAAATTAAATGCCAGGGGGCTGGGACCAGGTCACGGATGGGCCAGGCAGGGCAGCCATGGGGACTTTTCCTATGGCTCCCCATTCCCAGGGAGAGACAGGCACAGTTGGAGGAACTGCAGGAAAACCTGCAGCTGCCTGGCTGTGCCTGCCTCTCCCTGGCTGATTCGAATCTCCGAATAGGCTCTGAATCTCTGATTCTGCTTTGGTCGAATTGAATGGGGACAGTGATTCAAATCACCAAATCGAATCACTGTCCTCTGAATCGGCCGAATCTGAATCGAATACTTCCCTATTTGCACAGGCTACTAAACTTGCACTAATACTACCACCTTGCAACAAATAGCCAAGTCACCACTTCAAAAACATCATTGAAAGTTTGTGTAAGATGGACATGATAAAAATATACAATAAGTAGCTATAAGCATGTGCAAATAAACCTAAATCTTGAAATACATCCCACAAATGTAACTATCTTTGAAAAAAGAGATTAATGAATGTGTGTGTACACTTCCCAACAATGTATCTGAATTACTCATGGTAAGCATCAAAACTTGGAAGGCCGTAACAGCAAAATAAAATACTATGTTGTTTTAAAGACCTTTAAAGTGTTTAGCTTGGGCCTAAAGTTGTTCTGCCATGGGAGGCAATGCTATAACTCTCCTTTTTTCCTTTAGAGTCAGAGGTAAGGCAATGCAGGGTTCATCTTGTGGTCATTCATGACCCCCAAGTCTCTTTCAACAGTGGTGTTAGCAAGCATAGCACTACCAAGCCTATAAGCACGCTGCAGGATTTTTTTCCTGAGGTGGAGTACCTTACTTTTATCAATATTGAACGTCATCAGGTTTGTGTCCACCCACTTACAAAGTTTATCCAGGTCAGCCTGGATCACTAGCCTGTCCTCAGGTGTGGACACTATCCCCCAAAGTTTAGTGTCATCGGCGAACTTAGCCAGTGCGCTTCTGACACCAATGTCCACATTGTTAATAAAGATGTTAAAGAGAACTGGTCCAAGGACAGAGCCTTGGGGGACACCACTGGTCATGCAGCGCCATAACGATTCGCTACTATCGACCACTACTCTCTGAGTCCAACCTTGGAGCCAATTTCCAAACCATTGGACTGTGGTGCAGCCGGGACCACAGTTGGCCAATTTTTCCATGAGGAGGTCATGGAACACCAGATCGAAGGCTTTTTTAAAGTCTAGATGTATGACATCAATCTCTTCTCCCTTGTCCAGGTGGTATGTCACCTGGTCATAGATGGAGATGAGATTGGTCAGGCAAGACCTACCCGTGACAAACCAGTGCTGGCTATCCCTCATGATGTTGCCATCAGCCTGCTTATCAAGAAGGATCTCTTTGATAATTTTCTCCAGAATCTTACCGGGGATTGAGGTCAAGCTGATTGGCCTGTAATTCCCAGGATCTACTTTCCGCCCTTTCTTGAAGATGGGTACCACATTGGCCTTCTTCCAGTCTTCAGGTACTTCACCTGTGTGCCATGAGTTTTCAAATATTTTTGCCAATGGTTGGGCTATGACACCTGCCAGCTCCTTGAGTACTCTAGGGTATAATCTGTTAAATCCAGCTGACTTGAAGATGTCCAGGCCTCTCAAGGTGATCCTTTACTAGATCAAAACCGATGCTGGGTATAATACGCCTTCACCCTGGCCATCCCATGTCTCGCTAGGCAGGGCAGTCCCATTGGACTGATGAAAGTCTGACGCAAAGTACCCATTAATTAGATCGGCCTTTTCCTGGGTGTCAGTTATCAGCTGTCCCATTTGGTTCAGCAGGGGTCCAATGTTACCCTTTCTTTTTTTTCAACTCCCTACATATCTGAAAAAGGACTTTTTGTTGTCCTTGATATGTGAAGCCAGGTGGAGGTTGGTTGCAGCCTTGGCTTTCCTGATCCGCTCCCTGCAGGTATGGACTAGTGCTAAGTACTCCCCTTGGTGGTAATTCCAGCCTTCCATCCTTTGTAAGTCTCTCATTTGAGGCACAGGAGATCCTCCAGTTCTCTGCTGAGCCAAGGGGGTTGCTGTACCCTTTTGCTACCCTTCCTCCAGGGTGGGATGGCCATCCCTTGAGCTGTCAGGATTGCTCCCTTCAGGAGCAACCACTCCTCTTGGACTCCTCCTCCTGTCAAGTTGTGGTCCCTTAGGGCCTTGACAATGAGCCTCCTGAGCTTGTCAAAGTCAGCTTTCCTGAAGTTAAGGACTTCTGTATTGCTGACTGACTTGCCAGTTTTGCGATGGATAGTAAAGGTGATCAGCTCGTGGTCACTATCACCCAGCTTTCCATTGATTCTTAGGTCACTGACTAGGTCATCCCCTTTGGCCAGTACCAGGTCCAGCAATGCTTTATGTCTTGTCAGCCCATAGACTTCTTGAGTCAAGTACAGCTCATCCATGCACGTGAGGAAGCTTTGCGACCTGTTGGATTTGGCCAAGAGCTCTTCCCATGAGATGTTCAGGTAGTTAAAGTCTCCCATGACAACCATGCACCGAGAGTGTGCAGCCTCAGCCAGTTACTTGGCAAATTCCTGGTCCATCTCTTGTTTCTGGTTAGGAAGTCTGTAGTAGACTTCTACCATGATGTCCCCTGTGTCACGTTCCCCATGTATTTTAACCCAGAGAGACTCCAGTCATCCTTCCTGGGTGCCAATGTCAATTTGGAGGGATGTGTAGCTGTCTTTGACATAGACAGCTATATCCAGATGTGCGTTAAAGGAATTAGGGGTGTCTGGTACTAGATGCAGAGCTTTCTTCACTTGAACACATTTTATAACCCTTTATCTCACATAAGACAGCCACAAATATGAGAAACTAAATTTAACTATGTCCAAACTCATCTTAAATTTGAAGGGCAGATTTATTTAAGAACTGCATTAAAGGGATGCAGATAAAAAGATAAACTAAAAATTCCACAGAATATTTGGTTTTTTAAGCCTTTGCACTTCAAGGAGGAAAAAATATATAAAAACCTGCAACAGTGATGAAAATACTGCATTTCCTGTCAACTGATTAGAATTTTATGTCTACTGTTTAAAAAATATATTATCTATTCTAGATGTGTTTTAACTAGTTTTTATCCCTGATGCATAAATAGTCCTGTTCCTTTACCATTTTTGACATAGCAAATACTAGGTCTAATCTGATATATTTAGTTTTTCAAATGTGCCAGGGGTAGGCAACGTTTTGTGGCCAGAGTGCCAAAAAAACCATGTCTACCTTGTAAAGTGCTGGAGTACTAGCATGCCACAAAAACAAAACTGGGGTGGAGGAGGTACATGGCAGGATGCACTACATATTTAATACAATTAATAATCATTAATGTTGCTTTTTTTTTTTTTTTTCCCCGTAAATAGAGAGCTGGTGTCAGGTGGGGGCTGCCCCAGGGCTCCGCTACTCAGGCCACAGTGCGGGGCCCAGCAGTACCAGAGGTGGGGCGCAGCCAGCCTGCACAGCTCTGCAGGGATGGGGCGCAGCCACCCTGCCCATGAAGGGACAGTGCCTGGCTGGGGCAGGACGCTGGGCCCAGGGAGCTCCCTGCTTGGTCTCTGTGCTAGCTGGGTACAGTGTGAGTGGGAGCTGCAGCCACTGGCCTGTTCCCCGGGCTCTGAGAACAGCCGCCACAGCCGGTGCTCAGGGCCAAGCTGGCTGGGAGCCTGCAGCACAGCAGCTCTGTGCAGTGCCTGCCCCAGCCCTGGCTCCTTGAAGGGAGCTGCAGGTGGGCAAGGTCGGGACCCGGGCAGGCTGAGGCAGCCACGGTGGCTGTTCCCAGGCTCCAGGGAGCTCCCGTGGCCAGGCCCCTGCACCAGGGACAGCTCTGCCCTGCCTGCACTGTGCCCAGCATGCAGGGAGGCCGATCCTGGAGAGGAAACCCCATGAGCCTGGAGTCCTGCCCCAGTCAAGCAGCATCCTCACTTGTACAGGGTAGCTGCAGCCCATCCCCGAGAAGTTGCGCAGGCCAGGCAGTGCCCCACCACGGGTGCCGCTGGGCAACCCCGCCTGCCTGCCTACCACAGCTGAAGCCTGCAGAGCCCCAGGGCTGCCTCCACTTCCTGCCCAACCCCTGCCTTCCTAAGGGCCTGACCTGGCTGGCTTGCCCGCGGTGCATCCTCTCCACACCGCCCAGACCCTGTCCTGACTGCCCGGCCCCAGCACTCGGCACCTCAGTGCTGCCCTGGCTGGGACTGGGTGTCTGCCTGCCTGGGCAGCTCCCTTCAGGGGCCAGCCAGGCTGGAGGGTGCAGCCTGGGAGCAAGGCGTGGGGGCAGTAGAGCACAGACAGCGTCCCTGCCTGCATTCTCCTGGCTCTGCCCCAGTGCCTGCCACGGCGCTGGGACTTGTGGCTGCACAGCCTGAAGCAAAAACTTAAAAAAACCCAACAAAAAACAATTTCTTTGCTTGCCTCCTGGCGTGCCGGGAAAAAGGTCTCCGTGTGCTACTAATGGCATGCGTGCCAGGGGTTGCCTATCCCTAAAATATGCTATAGTTTGTAAAATTGTCTTACTACTGTACAGGACACACTTAGGCTCAATTATGAACAGTCACATACAAAATGCAGTCCCATGGTAAGAAAATTAACTAAGCAATTTATGGTTTAATTCACTAATTCTCAACTAGGGTGCCAAGGGATTTTTAAGGGTGACAAAGGATCTACACATGATTTACAAGATAAACCCAGGAATTTCCAACTGGAATCCAGAGTGTTAAAAACATTCTGACCTGTTGTGGTCATTCTGAGTTCTTTGCAACAGAAGAATTGCTCAATGATTTTTCCATAGCGAGAACTAAGAGCTGGCATTTCTGAGGGGTGCCTTCTATAAAGGTTTAGTTAGGTATCATAACCACCTGAACTAGTAATAGCCACAATCCCAGATGCCTCCACTTTTACCTGACAGTATTAAAGGCCTACCCTAGACGTTAACACATGCACAATTAAAATTGATAATATGGCTTTCCTAGCTGGATAACTTCAGAGCCACCAGCCTGCTAAAACCAATCTGGCTATAACACCTTACTTCATGATGGGAAAAGATTTATATTCAAAACAACACTTAATTCACTTGCTTACTTGGCAAGTTCCTGAAGAGTTGTTAAGAGCTCACTGGTGGTTTTGTGATCTTTGGCTCCCAGTGAAGACATCAAAATATGGACATCATTGAAAATCAGAATGTGATCTTTGGTGTGCTGCTTTGTTAACTGGAGAACTTCATTCCACCTGTCTCCCAGCTTTACCCCTGGGAATCAAATACATGATTTAAAACAATTCCACATGCAAAATATCATCATTACATTGCATATGCTTTATAGCAGGAGTTTCCAAACCTGTATGCAATACATCTTGGGGCAGGGGGGGACAGGAGAAATTGCACAAGGGGAGATTCAATTTTCATTATAGTAATAATTGTCATTTAAGGGCTTAAAATACAAAATGTATGCTGGTAGGGATATGCAGGCAGCTGGTAAATCTGAAAGGGGGTACACAATAAGAAAAAGTTTGGGAACTTCTGCTTTATAGTTAATCAACACCATAAGCCTTGCTTGTAAACTTAAAAAAAAACACTTCTTTATCCAGCAGAACTCTGTATGATTCTCATACTTTTATTTAATAATTTATCAACAAGTTATCACCAATATCCAAAGCATAATTAGTTGGCATTCTGGCCTAATCATAATTTTCTATCCACATGGAGCATGTGATTACCAGTTCAGAATACAATTGCAGAGTTCATCATGACCAGATGAAGCAGAGTTCTATGGTAATTAAACAAACTTAGTAAGTGGATAAGTATTTTTTTCTCTAGCTTAATCTCTTCTTTAAAAAGGTTAAAGTGAAATTTTTTTGGCTTTTTATGTGGTCTCTGAAACTGTCTGAATGACTGATACAGTACATGCATACAGTTCTTATTTCAATCAGTACCAATATTTAGAATGAAATATTAATGTTGACTAGATATTTATTGCAAGAGAAGCCTGACAGCTGTTTAATAGCTTATGCAGTTAATCTTTCAATGTCTTGTTGAAAACATATCTCCTGGGACCAAGCAAAAGAAATCAGTCAGTAATGAAAAATGTGATTTACGTTAGCTTGGCTGAATGGAATACTGTACTGGCCAGAAAAAAAAGCTCAGGGGAGAAATAAAAGTAATGCACATTAATATAAACTTAAAATTCACCTCCCAAGGAAAGCATTGATTGGAAGAGTTTCTCCCTGTAACAACAAATCACTCAGCTTTGCTCTGCATAGTCCCTCTAATACTGTTCCTCCAGCATGCAGGAAAAGTGCAGCTTTGTCCTTCAATCTTTAAAGAAGAATGAGGACATTGATGCAGAAATTACCTTCTAGCTGAAGCCGGTACAGCATAGAGCAGTTATCAACCACATCTAGCATAGTTCCACTTGCTGCACAACTGGGACCAATCTGCAATCAGAAGGCATTCTCATGTTGCTTTATCCATGTATAAGTAAAGAGTTAATTTGAAAGTCAAACTTATCTTGACAATGCAAAGTTCATTCCATCTTTTACTCTTCCAGATGCAACTATTTTCAAGAACTTAGTTTTCATCTGTCATGAATATATCAATCTACAAATCTGATAATTCATATTACCCATGTTGCTTTTCCTTTCATGAAGTCAAATATAACATATCTGAAAACTGTACTCTTCCACTAACAACACCATCCTTTGCAACAGTTACTAGGGAGGACAAGATATCATCACAGAGTTTGAAATACAACTCAGACATTAAGAGATGTGCTACACAGACTCCTTATTCATTACCTGTGGATCATTTAAAGAGATTTTCCCGAAATCCAGTCAGCAAAGCGCTTTAAACACATTACTTAGAAATGTGGGGAAAAACATGACTAAGCTAGTGTGCCATCTAAGCTATGAGCTCACACTTTACTCTAGACATCTTAGATTTACAGAAAATGTATTTTATGTCATATTAGATATTTTATTTCCTGGTCCATCCAGGGACTTTATACAGCAGGGAGCTACACAGCAATTAATGCAGTCTGGGTAAAGATGAAAAATGCTACTGAGAATACACCAAAGCAAAATTTTAAATCATTTCTAAAATTAGGCATAAACAAAATGATGGCATGAGAATCTTTTCACATTTTGGGATGACATCTCTAACTCACATGTCTTTTACTAATTAAGCAACCAATCCTAAGCTGCCAATTAAACATTTATTAATAAAACAGAAACCTGTATCACACCATGATTTCCTTTATGTTAAATACAGAAAGAAATATGTATGTGCATATCAGGCCATTTATAAAGAAGTGATCCCTACTCACATGATTATCATAAATCGTCAAAGCAGCCTCATAGTCACCCTGTAAAAACAAAGGACAATGGAATGATGGTTTTTAGAATGCGATGTCCCAAAGTAACTCCCAACCAGAGCAAGGTACACTGTTTGTCACTGAACTCTAACTAATTTACATTGCTTTGCTACGTGCACACCAACAGTTATTTCTCTGCTAAATTTTGTCCCAAACAATTCATAGCTGTTAAAGCATGAGTAAAACCAAACAAAATGTTTTAAAGCCCAATAGGTTGAGTATAAATAGTTTGATTAAGTGTTTCAATAGATCTCAAATACTTCCAGGAACAGGGAAAATTTAACATCATATGATATCAGATTTCTTTGTCATAGGGGCCATCTTGGGTCTCTCCTGGTAATTTATGCAAACTGTAGCCCTCCACACTTCTTCTGCAGGTAGTATTTGTATTAATTTAAATAGGATTTTTGCCTTTTTCAGGACTGCAGAGATGAGTTTCATCACTATATCAAAACATTTGTGCCAAACATGCAATTATAACAGGGGCACTTAATGGCTTCACACTAAACACTCTACTTTTTAACTCAGATAATTTAAAAATATTATACTTTGAATAATGACATCATTTAGAAATATTTGAATAAAGTAGCAACAGTACAAACACTACTACAGTGCATTCAGAAATGCATCAATATATTTAAAATGAAAGAAGGTAGATCAAACTTATTTTTCAGGTTGCTGTAACATGCAGCACAGATATAGCAATGTCCCCATACCTTTTCAATAAAATACAGAGCCCAGTGCCAGTAATTATGACAAGCAAGCATATCAGAGTCCTGAGAAGAGAGGAAGAAAAAATGTTACATCCAGTGTAAACTCTGATTAAACAGATTCCATTCACTTTAGAGGTCAGTCTTCTCCTATAATAAATCTGAACATATAAAATCTCAGTGGATATAAAAGCCAAGAATCTAAAACTACCATTCTCCTCCGAAAACTGACTATGGCACCTTCTTACTGAATGGATTTGCTCTGACAGAGATAAGCATATGAGATCTGCAAATTAAATTTTTAACAGAGTCATTTTCAGAGTGACAATACATTTTGACTCAATCTCATATTGTGCATCATTTGGTAGCACCTTTAAAAACCCTCTACATTGACAATATAGACCTGAAAACCATTTTAGCAAAATACTTAGCATAAGCAATGCCATTTTATGTATCCAGTGCAATTATTTAAAAGTGAAGCAAACACAGAGCAGCTTAAGACAGACCTACACAGCAAGAAAAACAGGATGTGGGTATCCAAAATAGAAAAGGGAAGCAAAACCAGGAAAACAGTTAAACTGGACAGGCAATATTATATAATGGGGTGAAGCCAAATATGTAATAAAAAAGAAGAAGCTGAAGGCAGATGGTGGAGAGCAACAGGCATGAAAAAGAACAATTAATCATGCCTAGCCAGCCAAGTCATCATGTATTGTTCGGAAGGATTACGTAAGAATACTGCTTTGGGCATAGTATTGTAGAAGTAATTTTGCTTATGTGTTCATTAAATTAGGATTTGATACTGGAATAATCTCAGCAATCATTGCAATCCGTTCATACTCACACTTTATTTAAATTAGTGCAACAACAGTACTACCTTACATGCCTTTCTTGCCAGCCAAAGGCTGATGGCATAAAAAGTTCAAATACTCCTTTCCATTATGCTGGCAGGTATCTCCTGGAATCAATGACAGCACAACAATATAACAAAGAGAAGCTTGACTGAACTATACACTGGTAGAGAGAAGTAGTTAGCCATGTTAATCTGAGGTCAGGCAAGGTAGAGTTGCATCTTATTGACTAAATAAGAGATGCGCAAGCTCTGGCAGGCCAGTAGGGGGTGCTCCTGCATTGAGCCACCCACCTCACTGCATCTGACCACCTTCCAGGCCCCAAGACCAGCAGAAGGAGACCCTGGCACAGGCCACCTTGAATGTGCCAGGCTGTACCCCTTCACCACCTCCTTAGGAACCTCATGCTAAGGTTCTGGCTGTGCTTATCCCTGCACCTTTTCTTTTATGCACTCCCTTATCCATGGCCCCACCAGGTCCTGGGACCTCCTGGTCAACTTCCTCCTTGCTCTGGCCAAACTTGCCATCTACCAGACCAAGAAGCACATTCTGGCTAGGGAGAATCTGGGTGATTGTGGGGATGTTTTTCTGTCATTTCTCCACTCACATCTCTGGGCAGACTTTCATTGGGTGACATCCATTGGCTCCTTGGAGGACAATGGGCACTGGTTGGTATACTCTGCTCAGTGTCCCCACTTGGAACACTCATTATTAACCTGTGGCCCACATCCCCAACCCTTTTTTCTCATTTGTTGTCTCCCAGAATCTCTTGTTGTGCTTTTTATGGCTTCCTAGATTGAGATAGGCTTACTATCCTTTGCATAACAAATAGCCATGTCTCTGACAGTTGTGTGAGTGGATGCTTTGGAGGGAGAGCACTGAACCAGATGCATCTAGAGTGATCTGTCCCCTGTTCATTACCCACCATGGCATCCACCATTATTGGTTTAGAGATGCCAGAGGAAACATTATATCCTGACTATGCTTTCTGCTTCTACCACTTCCTGTGGCAGTGAGTTTCACAAGTTAACTATGTGCTGCATAAAAAAGTACTCTCTCCTATTAGTTTTAAGCCTGTCTCCTTCATATTTCAATGGATACTTCATTGAGACCTTGCTTTACTAATAAAACCCACATGGTACAGAAAATATAGACAACTTAAAATTACATATGCAGTTTTCTGGCTGAGGAGAGAGAAAATGAAAGAAAAAACATTTGATGAATGCTAGTCGCACATTGCATAAATGCACCGCTCAAAAGTTCACATATTTTTGGTGATAGATGCAACAGAAGATCACGAATAGGCTAGAAATAGACTCAAGTACCATTTCTCCTTTCTTTACACCTGAATTTTTGCACCCTTCCTTCTCCAGAAATCAACATAGGCGTCTCCAGAGCTTCTTTACAATCTTGCTTTGACTGTGTCTTTCTGCAACCCACTCTATATTCATTAACCTTTTTATGAAGTCATTTTTGCCAAGTTCCCTATTGACCCTTAAAATGCTGATCTCAGTCTAAGCAGAAAGCCTGTAAATTTCACTTTATTGCCTGCAGTAGAACAAGGGGCAAACGGTTATAGCACATAAAAGCAGTATGGGCAAATATATGTTGCTTAAGAACTAAATCACAAGTGATATTTAAAATGTTTCATCTACAACCATTGGTCATTGAGACTTGTGTCTATGAACTGCAAAGTATTTTCTATGCAAAAAATCACTTAAAGTACTTGATACAATATAACTAGGAAAAATAATGCAGACAGAGGAGAAGATAGCAGTTTGGCTACAATCCTGACCCAATGACTTGTCTTTAAGCCCACAAAAGTAACAAGACTCCAAATAAGCCAACTTTGTCATAATTTAGTAGTTAAATAATAAAGATAAAGGCTTCTATTTTTGTTCGTGTTATGATTTTTAGCTGATATTTTAAAACAAAAACTTAAATTACCAAACCCGTTAAAATGTTCCAAAAGTATAAAGAGGCTTATTTCCAAGCTGAACCAAGAGAAAATGCATTTGTGATTGAAGTAATGGATGGGACACAAGACAGTGAAGTTCAGTTCCTGACTGCTTCATTGTTCCTGTAAAAAACTGAACAAATTATAGGAAAAAATGGTAACACCAGTTCCTTACCTCACAGTGGCAGTATAAAAATAAATTCATTAGTACTGTGAGACACTGTGGCCCTAGGAGCTGTCTAAATACACAGAAAGACTGAGAACATTCTGCTTCTCATGCAAACCACCACATATTTGAAAAAACTAAACTGAAACAACAGATGAATACTGAAGGCAGATTTACACTAGTGTAATGGAGTGGAATTTGGCCTTTTTTCTGCAATGCTTCATTTCAGGGCAAATTCTGAATGCCTGAGTGAAATCTCAGTCTCCATGAGCACATCCTTATGATGGAAAAGCAGCTGCTTTCACTTAAATGTAATAAGCAGCTTTTGTTCCTCTGACAACACCAATAACAAATCCTTGGTCTTCCCTGTCACTAACCAGTTGCATCCAGGAATAAGAGCTAATCCAGAAACAAGGATCATCTGTACATGGCCTTCAGAGAAGAAAAAACGATGAATAAATAATATTTCCTTTTGTCAAGAACATTGCAAATTCTGATCCTCCTGACAGCAATGGCAAAACCTGCCACAAGAGTCTTTATTTGGGTCATTCAAAGAGATATAAAAGGAAGGAGGGGTGTTGACTTTAAAACAAAAGTGTACATTACAAACCACAGTTAAATGCTCAAGCTATATTTTTAAAAGAATACCCAGAGTGCATATTTGAAATATAGAATTGTTGCTGAATTTTCTGCCTGTTGCTTCCCAAGTAGGACATCCAAACAGTTCTCAGCAAAGGCTTCCTCCTATTTGTGAAAGCTTACCCATGCAATTTGTAACATACTTTATTTACTCAATTCTAAGATGAGTTTTTCCCTCCATTTAACATAGGAGGGGAAAGCCTTTCATCTTAGAATCAAATCTGGGGGGAGGGGGCAGGGAGGAGGCAGGGGAAGGTGGTTGCTATGGCTCGGGCTCCAGCCCCTACTTGGGGTCAGAGCCATAGTGGCAGATGCGGCCTGCCTCCCCCTCAACCCTACCTCTGCACTCTGTCATCTCCCTCCTTCATGCAATTTCTGCTCCCCCACATGCCCCTCTCCCTCCTCCTTGCTTATACTTGCACTGTGACCGCAGGCTCCACCTACACTGTAGCCTGGGGTACTGAGCATGGCCCTAGCCTGGCCAGTAGCAGCAGCACACAGCCTGCATGGCTGCTATGGGGATTAGGTTAGGCTGTGCTCAGTGCCCCAGACTAGACCAGGGATGGAACCTGCTGGTGTGGAACAAGGGCAAGGGGGAGGGGAAGGGAAGCAGAAGATAGGGGAGGAGGAAGGAGAGGGGATCAGAGGCTGAGTGAGGAAGGGAAAATGGGAAGAGCAGAGGCTGGTGGGGAGGGGCAGGAGAGGGAGCAGGGGCAAGGGGGCACCCAAGGCTGCTGGGGGGTGGGAGGGGACAAAGGCGGGAATACACAGTGGGCAATATCCTTGGCCTCCCAACACCACCTGCCCTTCACTGCCTGTACAGAATCCATATATATATATAAAATCTAACGATTGGGTGGGTGGTCTTAAATTCAGAGTCATCTTATATTTGAGTAAATACGGTGTCTGGTGAAAAGGTGTGTAAAAAAGGAATCAACAACATTTGGTTGAAGGGAAGCCCCC